ATAGGCAGGTCTGTCAGGCACCGAGAATAAACAGGAGGAGAAATCAACGCTCCGAAGGAGAGAAAAGAACCTGAGAAAGAGAAGAAAAGAACGAGGGACACACCCGGGGCAAGAAGGCAGGCAAATACCAGACAGACAGACATAGAGAAGCAGTGAAAGTAAGATAAACAGAAGTAAGAAAGGGAATAAGTCCCGGGGCAAAAGGTAGATAAAGAGAAACAGGCCAATTTAAAAGAGCTAGCCAGAAATGTGCCTAAACAAGGCTGTAAAAAGTAAAAATAGTAAAAAGTCTCTGTGTCATGATTTGGGAGCTGGCTGGTGTCCCAAAAGAAAAGCCTAGTACAACACAAGATATATATCACCATCCCAAAAGGGAACATAGTACAAATACTCAACCAGTTGGGCAAACTCCAAACTGTGCATCTCTGTGCCTGATATCAAAATGCTCTTCAGATCTCCAATTCCCTTTGTTGACTGCAACACACTTCTTTCTCTTGGGCTGGTTTCACTCCCTGTTAGCAGCTTTCCTCAGCAAGTATCCCATGGCTCTGGTATCTCCAACATACCAGAGTATCCAAGGCAATCCCAGTTCACCTTTACAACTTCACGCAAAGGCCTCCCTGGGCCAGGGACACTCTGACATATGCCTCGCCTCGGCAGCTTTCTTTAGTCACAGGGCGAGATTCCATAACCTTTTCTTCTATCCTTAACTCCAATGTCAGAACCACATGGCAAAAGCTGCCAGGTTCTGCTGCTTGCTGGGGCTGGAACATGGCCCCTTATTCAAATTACATCTTTACCAACTTTCTGTTTACAATGGTTTCCTTCACTGCCTAAGCTTGGCTGTCGTGGAACTCATTCTACAGATGCCCAGGCTGGCATCAAACTCAGAGATCTGCCTGTCTCTGCCTTCCCAGTGCTGGGATTAAAGGCCTGCACCACCACACCTGGCCTAAGCATCTCTTTAATTTCTTTTCACACTCTGGAAGCTTAGATGGGTGGGGTCTTCCCTGAGGTCACCACTCCCTTTGTTCCATTTAACATCAAAATTTTCTTTAACCTGTTTATCTCCTTGAACATAGAACTCCATTACACTTTGTAGTGCCCCTTTTCTTCTCAAATTGTACAATTTGTATTTTTCCATGCTCAACTTGCTGCTTTTCAATATAAATCTTCCTAAGAGTGACTACTAATATCCACATGACATAGTTAATACTAGGCTTTTTGAGATTTCATCTACCAATACAATTCATCGAAAAACTCTTCAATCTAGCCTCAGGCAGACTTTTTCAAGGGCAAAAAGAAGCCACATTATTTGCCAAAATATCACAAGAACCATCTCTAGGCCACATACTAACATTATTCTTCCCCGAAACCCCTTGAGCCAGGTCCCTCAGTTCAAATCACCCTCAGCACCACTGTCTCCCATGCTCCTACTAGGATGGTCCATTAAGCCCCATTTAAAGCATTCAACTGCTTTTCTAATCCAAAATCCCAACATCCACATTCCTCCAAACAAAAGAATGGTCAGGCCTATCACAGCAATACCCAGACCCTGGAACTAACTTCTGTATTAGTCAGAGTTTTATTGCTGTGAAGAGACACCATGACCATGGCAACTCTTTTAAAGGAGAATATTTAATTGGGGCTGGCTTAGAGTTAAGAGGTTTAGTCCATTATCATCAAAGCAGGAAGCATGGAAGCCTGCAGCCAGACAGGGTGCTGGAGAAGGAGCTGAGAGCTCCACATCTAGATCTGTAAGCAGCAGGAAGTGACTATCACACTGGTTATGGCTTGAGCATCTGAGAACTCAAACCATGTCCCCACTGACCACTTCCTCCCAAAAGGCCACACCTACTCCATCCACCACGACCACACTTCCTAATAGCACCACTCACTATGGGCCTAGAGGGTCCATTTTCTTTCAAATCACCACACTTGGCTATCCCACATATACTTTAACTAACTTGAGCTCAATGAAGAGCAGGTTAAGCAGGAACATCAGTTTTCCCATATTTAAAATGTAAACAGAATAATGATTAAAAACTTAAATAAAGCAGGGTGGTGGTGGCACTTGCACTCGGGAGGCAGAGGCAGGCAAATCTCTGTGAGTTAAAGCCCAGCCTTTTCTACAGAGCGAGTTCCAAGACAGGCTCCAAAGCCACACAGAGAAACCCTGTCGCAAAAAAAAAAAAAATAAAAATAAAAGAAAGAAAGAAAAAAGAAAAAACTAAGTAAGCTCATGAAGGAGCCCGCAAGGACACAGAACAATTTAAAAGGCAACACATTTCTAAGACAAATTTCCTAAGCTAAGAATTAGTATATGCATTATTTAGGTTTGGTCTGATGTCAAGCTTTTCAAGCCTCTTTACTTTCTTTCTTCTGCGCAGAGCTCTGAAAGTGATCTGTATCAGTGTATTGATGGGGGAAGTCTTTCTGTATATTTGTTTGTCTTATTGGTTAATGAACAAAATAGTGATTGGCCAGACAGGAAGTGATATAGCTGGGCAGAAACAGGATATAACCAGGGACAAACAGGAAATCGCTCTCTTCTCTGCTGAGATGCTTAGGAGGTAAGGTGTGCTGTGGCTTGCTCCTTCTCTCTGATCTCTCAGCATTTCCCTCTATATCTGTCTCTGGCTTCTATTATCTAGACCAATTAAGAAACTCCTTTTACAGTGTATCATCACTCTTCCCTGGGCATCCCAGTATTGTCTCTGTATGTACTGTGTCCACACTCTAAATGTGTCTGTCTCTTCTCCTCTTTATGGTCCATGATCTTTACTGGTACAAAAACCTCCTACTTGAGTGCCCAATTTATACGTGGGGACAATTAAGTTATGGAGTTTTATGAAGAAAGTTGTTTTCCAATATTACTTAAGAGGCCAAAAACACTGAAGAATGGATCTTTAAACTGTTAATGCCATTCACCAGATCAATCTGTTCTGTAAATGGAGGCAGAGTAGTGGGAAATCCCCTATGTCCAGGCTTTTATATCAAATTTGAAACTAAGAGACTGCTTCTAGGTCTATGTGGCCCTGTCTCTAAGCCCTGTCTAGACCTATAGCACTTGATTCAGATATACTGAATGATTCCCAACTTCAACCAATACTTCTGCCAAACGTACTACAAGGACATGGAACCTATGAGACCATCTACTGTCTCTTGACCAGCAGACAATTCTCACTTGCTTTCTAAGGACTCCTTCCCTCCCTCTTCTGACATGAGGAAAGGACTTTTTCTTCTGTGCCCTCCAGACCAACCATCTAGCCAATCTCATAAGACCATCATCAGTACAAGAGAATGAGGTCCGGAAACAGTCAACCAACACCAATCAAGGACACACTGGATGAGCACATATACAATAGCAGGATGCATGCCCCCTTTATATAAAATAAGGACAGTTTTAGTGACTTCTCATGAAACCATAATGGATTCTAGGATGAATTCCTTCATGGAGCTTCATGCCTGTCCCCATCTTAACAGGAAGTAATCTCAGTATTGGTTTATTGACACTTCTGATGTAAAGGAGTGGATTCTGCAGAAGGCTACTTCAGTAGCTGGTGGGCTAGCAGACAACATTCTAATCCATGAGATCCAAACACCTGGGGAAAAAATGGCTGTCATACAGACCCTAGTTGGAACCCTGAGGAGCCTATTCATAGATGCAGGACAGAACTCTCTTAACTTGCCTAGAAACAGAAAAAGAAATGTCTACTTAAGGCTGTCAGCTCTGAAACGGTCAAAGAAAAGAAAAAGAATATTGTGAATTTCTCCAAACCTATTAAGGTCTTCTGAAAATCAACAATACCAAATCAGAACTGATAGAAACATAATACTTAACAGCTATAAATTTTATTTAACAAGTTGCCTCAGAAAATTAAGAGAATATTGCAAAACCCTGAACTAAGGCATCTAATACCATTTTTTAATATAGTATAGGAGGCCATGACTTCATTGTTACAGCAGAAAAAATAACAATGGGAGAGGAAAAAAAAGGAGAGGGGGCAGATTGGGGGGGGGGAAAGCAACTATGGCCTGCTTTAATTCAACCATCATCTCACAGTAACCCACAAAACTCCAGAAAATATGCCCAATGAGAATTATGCCAACTGTATCACAACCAATGTATATTTAGCTGAAAGGGCATTGAAAGGGAACTGTTCTAAGTGGCCAAGAAAGGACTAGCTAGAAACGATTCACTTAGAGCAACATTCTGGGCACTGTCTCCAAAGAAGGAGAATCCACATTTGACCTGCAAAGGCCCAAACACTCTCTAGGCTTCACTGCAAAGACAGTGTCATATTAGTAAAGCCTCAGTAACAGGTGATCCAGCAGGCAAGAAGAAGGAATACTTACTGGATAAGGAAGCTGCTTTATTTATCTTGCCCCAACTTGTCGGCAATTTGTCTGATGCCAGCTGCCCAGTACCAGACACAGATGGGCAGCCTAAGGGAAGAAGATTCACCTTCCTCTTTCATTGTGACACAGGTTCCACCCCCATTACCCTTTCATTCCAGTGTCCCTACTAGGTGGAGACTTCCTTAATGCACTGGGTACCTCTATCTCCCTGAAGAAGAAAGAGGCATGTTTCTATAGAACCAGAGCACAGTATCATCTAGCTGCTTCCTTGCTAATTCTGGCACAGAACTTCAGCATGTCCCTGAAAACGTAAAAGAGTCCAACTGATGGCTCCACACTCCTATGCATGTAGGCTGTACAAATTGGACTCAGTGAGTTATTTTGAAAAGGAAGGTAAAAGGGTATCTGTTGGGCAAGTCTATGGAAGAAAAGGGAATGTGAAAGTAAATATAATCAAGATATATTGTATACATCATCAAAGAATAATTTCCATAGAGAAACACTTAACATCAATGTATGGCCTCTTCCCCTTCATGCACAAGTATAGCCACCCATACACATCATAGGCACAAAAAAAATTTCCCCACTTATCAAACAGGGTGGAAAATAAAGATAAAAAACCAGAAGTGAGAACCTACCTGAAGTCTTGCTAGTTGTGCAGTACGGGCTACTATTTTATTATATGGCTCAACAATTTTTGATTTCATCCTAAGGTCAAAAAAAAAGAAGGAAAAAGAGTGAGAATAAAATAATTTTCAAAATATCAATGGGGGACTAGAGAGATGGCTCAGTGGGTAAGAATGCTTACTGTCTAAGCATGAAAATCTGGGTTCAGACCCCAGCACCTCCAATACCTGGCCCATGACAGAAGCCTGGCGGGAAACTAGGTATGGCTACTTACTGCTGACAGGTTTTCATTTGACATGGTACAGAAATATTAAAACTATTTAGTGCTAAGGGCTGCACAACACTGAAAACACACTTGGCACTACTCAATCAGACACATGAAACTTGTTTAAAATTTAAACTGTAATGGTAAAATTAACATTATACACATTTGCTACAATTATGTTTTACAAATCTTTGAGTGATATTGAATTCTCTGCACCTACATAAAAAGTTAGGCATGGCTATGCTTGTACCTGTAACCCTATGTTATCAGGGAAGGAGACAGGAGAATCTCTGGAACTTGTTGGTCACCAGTCTCGCTCCAAGTTCAATGAGGGAGCAAAGTAGAGAATGATACTAGATATACAACATCTACCTTTGACCTCTATGCACACACCTGTACACACATATACATTACATGCACATATACATATCACATTCAATCATAAGCATACATAAATAAGTAAATCTAACAACACATACGTATACATATTAATGGCTAGAAATAGTTCCATCTTATATATTTATAAAGTGAACTACAGTACCTATCAACAGCTCCCTGTAAAGCACCAATTCTTGTCTGCATCATCTGAAGAACACCTAGGAAAGATAACAACCCATATAGGAATTATAAATTTACAAAATTCACACTGGACCAAAATAACAGAATACAAAATATACATAAATACAATGTTAATGTTTTTCTGCCACCATCCTGATGCAGTCAACCAATATAACTTCTAAGTTCGGTTATAAAAGCCTACAACGAGCCTCCTACTCCAATACCTGACCCATTACAGAAGCCTGGCAGGAAACTAGGTATGGCTACTTACTGCTGACAGGTTTTCATTTGACATGATATAGAAATATTAAAACTATTTAGTGCTGAGGGGTGCACAACACTGAAAACACACTTGGCAGTGCTCAAACAAGACACATGAAACTTGTTTAAAATTTAAACTGTAATGGTAAAATTAACATTTTACGCATTTGCTACAATTATGTTTTACAAATCTTTGAGTGATATTGAATTCTCTGCCTAGTATCCTTCCATGCCATCTTCTTCACTCCTGTAGTAAAGCAATAGTCAGTCCAGTTTGTGTTCTCGAAGCCAGTCAACACACTCCCTAGGCTTTCCACTGTTTTTCTAGTTACTCCTGTGTTCTCTCACTTTGGCTTCAATCACCTTCTTTTCACCTACATCCTTTTAAAGATTTCATTCAATCCTAACATTTAAATGCTACCTTTTTCATAAAAAATTATTTACTTACATATGTGTATATGGAAAGGGGTGTATAATATCTTCTTTACATCTTCCTGTATACAGACATATATAACCTCCAACCCTAAAATCTGGCCTGTCAAATGTGCTGAAGGTGACTTCTGCACTATCCCAACCCTGCCAAGTCATAATCCTGTGAATTTATCCCATTTGAACAAGTCACATCCACTTTAGCAATCTAAAGTCTAAGGAATCACTGTGGTGACTCTTCTCATACTGCTTTCAATCCCTTCAATGAATCCTTTCAGTTCTGCTTCAATTTTACTCCCATCAACTGCTCTCTTTCTATTCACCAGGCTAATCCACAGCACCATCAGCATCAACTACTCTACCAGTGTCGTCATCCTATAGAGCCAGCAGGAAAAAGTACTTACAACACTCACCTTGTCTTACAATACTCTGATTATCAAACTCTCTAATGAAATCAAAATTCCTTTCCAGCAAATTCATCTGTGATTCTCTCCCTTGTTCACCAACATTCATTCACAAAGTCATTCTGGCCTTCCCTATTACCCTGAAACACACCAAGTTAATTCCTGCTCCAATTGACTACTCCCTAAGCTTTCCACAGTTTCCCTCCAGTTCCCCACAGGACAGTTCCTTCTCATCCTTCAGATGTCAGATCAAAATGTTACCTTTTCAGAAAGGCCTTCTCTGACTACTAAAAATAGGAGGGTCTCAGATCTGACACAAGCGACCTGCGTACCAGACCGAGTTCTGCTGCGGGATTCGAACATCAAACACCCAGAGGGCAGCCCTGCCTCCATCCACCGGCCCAGGTAGGCCAAGAGCTGATTCCGGCTCCTGTTCATCATCGTTCCTCAGAATCATCTGACACAAACAACCTGCATGCCGGACCTAGTTCATAATGGGATCCAAGGCCCGGTGACAGCTCTGCCTCCAACTGCCAGCCCTGCGGGACCCAGCACGACTGAACACTGTCGACACCGGGGTAAAAGTACACCTCCATCAAGGAAAAGAGGACCAACATCAGAGGACTGGATCTGTTTACATCTAACAGAAGAGAACGTTGGTCCCATACCCACCAGGAGAACAAGAAACTCTTGCTACACCCACCAGAAGAAAGGATGAGGACAAGGTAAAAGGACATCAAACAACAAAGAACCCAATATGACATCACCAGAGACTAGGAACCATACACCAGTAAGACCTGAACATCACGATGCAGATGAACCAGAAGAGAATGACCTTAAAAGCATCTTTATGAAAATGATAGAGGACCTCAAAGAGGACATGAGAAAATCCCTTAAGGAAATGGAAGAAAAAAACTAAACAAAAAACACAAGATAACAACAAATCTCTTAAGGAAACAGTTCAAGACCTAAAAACTGAAATAGAGACAATAAAGAAAGCACAATCTGAGAGAATGCTGGAAATAGAAAAGCTGGGTAAACGATCAGGAACTACAGATGTAAGCATAACCAACAGAATACAAGAAATGGAAGAGAGAATCTCAGGAGTTGAAGACACACTAGCAGAAATAGATTAATCAACCAAAGAAAATCTAAAGTCCAACAAATACCTATAACAAAATGTCCAGGAAATATGGGATACCGTGAAAAAACCAAACCTAAGATTAATAGGTATATACGAAGAAGGTGAAGAAATCCAATTCAAAGGTGCAGAAAACATACTCAACAAAATCATTGAAGAAAACTTTCCCAACCTAAAGAAAGACATGCCAATGAAACTACAAGAAGCCTACAGAACACCAAATAGACTGAAAGGAAAACTACAACCCAAGGAAGTTAACTACAACGAGAAAAACATAGGCAATAGATAACCCCAACTTATCAACAGCCAAAAGGAAAAAGGGACAGAATCCCACACATAATCTCACCATCATCACCAAATCAAAATCAAACAAGAATGAACAATAATCAATGGTCATTAATAACATCAACATTAATGGTCTTAACTCCCCTATAAAAAGACACAGATTAGCAGAATGGATAAGAAGACAGAATCCTTCCTTCTGCTGCATACAAGAAACTCACCTCAACCTCAAAGACAGACGGTACCTAAGAATTAAAGGTTGGGGAAAGATCTTCTAATCAAATGAACCCAAGAAACAAGCGAGGGTAGCAATCCTAATATCCAACAAATTGGACTTTAAACTAAAATCAGTCAAAAGAGATGAAGAAAGCCATTTCCTCCACATCCTACAGGAAAAATCCATCAAGATGAAGTCTCAATTCTGAACATTTATGCCCCAAATACAAAGGCATCCACATTTATAAAAGAAATATTACTAAAATTCAAATCACCCATAAAACCGCACACACTTATAGTGGGAGATTTCAACACCCCACTCTCACCACTGGACAGGAACACCAGGCAGAAACTTAACAAAGAAACAAAAGAACTAATAGAAGTTATGGCACAATTGGACTTAACAGATATCTAAAGAACATTCCACCCAAATACAAAACAATTAACCTTCTTCTCAGCGCCACATGGAAACTACTCTAAAATCGACCACATACTTGGCAACATAGCAAACCTCAACAGGTACAAAAAAACTGAAATAACCCCCTGTGTCTTATCAGACCACCATGCTTTAAAATTAGAATTCAACAACAAGAACTACAGAAAACCTACAAACTCATGGAAATTAAGTAACAACCAACTGCACAATTCATGGGTCCAGGAAGAAATAAAAAAAAG